CGGCTGCCTTAATGTTCGAAAGTAAACTCCCGCACCTTGTGTCGAGCGTACCACTCTCAAAGGAAAGCGAAGAAGATACAACTGGGGCTATTGGCGACGAGATGTCTTGCTGGCACCACCTCGCGGGCGCCCGTCTGTGACGGAGCATGGTATAGACGCGAGCAGACGACGCGCTATGTCAAAGCAGGGAGTGGATATGTTAGTTCGCATCATGCCGATTAAAACCGTTTTTTTTTTTTATTAAAGAAACATGCATGAAGTTTTTGTGAGTGATCTTTCGAATGAATAACAGAGCCTTGAAGTTGCTTCTTTACACTGAAAAACTTTAAAATATTCAAAAACAAGCCGGGAGCTTCACATTACAGCTTGCGCGGCGTGCGTCAGGGCTTTTCACTCTCAATGTAATTCCTTTTTGTTTTTTTATGCGAAGTAACTGTCTCATGGGGCAAAGCCGGGGGTGTCTGTAACAGCGAAAAACGTGCAAGAAGCCGGCGGCGCCTGTAACCGGGCGAAACATGCAAGAAACACCCAGGAGCCGACGGCGTCTCTAACCGCTGTAGTGACGCCACCCGACAGAGAAGCCCTCTTCCTGGAGCTCCTGTCCCCACGCCAGGAAGGAGTCGCGCTCGGGCGTCGCGCTCGGCCGTCGCTCTCAAGCCTCGTGTCAGTCGTCGCCGGAAAAGAGGGGGGGGGGGGGGGGGGTCTGTTTCAGTCTGTCCTACGTGTGACGTCACTAACTTTGGTGATGATAGCTAGAGAAGAGACCCCTGTTGTTCGCGCTCGCCGCCAAAAGAACAAATCAAGAAATTGAACTGCACCGCCTTCTTGGGCCTTGGACAACTTCTCGATTGACACAGGGCCACAAAAGCACCGAATGATTGTCTTACTAAAACTCGTGTATTCAAAATTCTCTAAACTTTGACGTAAGTAGTGTATAAATTCATGTCTCGTTAATAGTTAATATGAACGACGTTGATATATGGGTACCCCGCTATATGGGAACCATTATCGGGGACAAACTGGGAAAATACGTGTATGTTTGTCTCGTGATGATGATCAACTCACATTATAGATAATTTTTTTTTCGAGGAGGGGGGGGGGGGGGGGGGGGAAGCGGAGGTGTTCATATTAACCAGACATCAGTGTATTTACTTTTGCTTTGTTTTATGCTGTTTCGTCACAAGTGGTTTTTCTTGCTTTCATCCTGAATATAGTAAGAAGAGTTTGATTTTGGTTACTATAAATGCTAGCGGAACTGCATATATTTATGATAGAGCTGCTGGCATGGTGCAAACATTCCCCAGTGTTTGCTTTCATTTTATTTTCTATGCATGACCTCATACACTGAAACTCCCTTGTGTGCGATTCTTGTCTCGACGCTTTATGGAGAGTAAATATAGAGCAAGATCGTAGCCGCTGTTTATTGATATGAAAAATATACTCCAGCCAGCTATTAGACCCCAATTACAGTGCAGTAAATCATGGCATTTGAAGCGTTTTTATAGGCTCACGGAAAAAGAAAGAACTTTAAAGGTTTGTTTATGGTGCTGTGTAGTATAGTAGAACCATAATACAATCAATTAGCCTAAACTTTCGAACTTTATTCATTTAGTTATTTTTATATGAGTATTCAGTGAATAAAACAACATACATTTGTTCATTATAAAGACAGAGGAGAAATGCAGTTGCAAACAGTTTGTTGGTTAAGACTCATTTCACAAAGGCGTATTAAGACGCTAGTGTGCTCGTTTGATCATATAGAAATAATGAGCTCATACTGGAATTTAAAAAAAAGCAAATCCGTACCCAATCGCTGGATTGCCTCCCTGTTGATTCATTCAACGGAGCGAAACACCTCAGCTTTAACAAGACTGAACACACTAAATGCCTGTTCTGTTAAACAACTAAGCAGCATGCTTGCGTTGAGTTGGCAAGCAGTAGACGTTTGTTCGCGCGCTGTGGTTCCGAAGTGATCCGTCAGTGGCGACTATACTTCCTTCCAGCTTAATAAAGGCAGCCGATGCTACGAGCTAATGGAACCAATCAAAGAAGTGGCGACTATACTTCCTTCCAGCTTAATAAAGGCAGCCGATGCTACGAGCTAATGGAACCAATCAAAGAAGTGGCGACTATACTTCCTTCCAGCTTAATAAAGGCAGCCGATGCTAGGAGCTAATGGAACCAATCAAAGAAGCGTTAAAAACGGATCACATAGGCCGCTTGTCAGGCACGTAGCCAGAAATTTGCTTCGGGGGGGGGGGGGGGGGGGGGGTCCTGGCTACGTGCCTGCCGCTTGCGCTTATCATTGGTTCAGCGATGATAGAACACGTATAGAAACATGACGAACGCCTTGATGGTGCGCTTGTGAGGCTGTTTGATTGGTTCCATTAACTCGTAGCGTCGACTGCGTCTGGACGTGAGTTGAAACGAAGTATAATGAGCTAATCGGCCTTGTGGTCAATCACTTGTCTTCTGGTCAATCACACCACGCGCCTGCATTGCGCTTTTGACTTTGTGGGATTGTTCAATTTCATTACGCCTGATTTGATTAAGCCACGCTTCAATCGTTCCCAGGGAAGTTATACAACACAGCAAGTTCAATAAAACAGTTTATCCACTCGCATTCCCTCGCCTCAAGTCCCATTCTCCTGCGATGGCGGCTGCAGCTCCATGAATCAAGACCCTCTGCTATAGACTGCCCATGATTCGAGACTCTCTACTTAAGACCTCCGATGAAGTCAATCGACAACGACCTTATGAAGACTGTCCCTCAAAATCCTCTCACTGAAGACTGTCAAATCGAGACTGTCATGTGAAGACTCTCCAAATAAATACTGTATCCTTATATAGCCAGCCCCAGTGACTTCCCTACACATCTCTAGGGGAAGTGCACCCCCCCCCCCCCCTCTGTTTTTTTTTGTTTTTTTTTTTTTGAAGGCACACTTTTAATTTGCAACGACTCCTCTATTCTCATTGCCCCCCCCCCTCTCTCTCTAAAACTTTAGACACCCCCCTAATTTCAATTCCTGGGGAAACCCCTGGCCAGCCCTACCCCTTGTTTTCTTCCCTTCTCACTCCCACTGACAATATCATGCACGGGCGAGCGCCATAGCGCCCGTCTGGCGAGAAACCCCTGCTCGGTACGAACATCGACGGATTTTCACCGGTAGGCAAGCGGGGCATGCCATCCTCGGTGCTGTTTACGTGGCTGGTTTCAAAGGGTCCCAGACTGGCGGGGAATGTCGGCTTTGGCGCTGGAGACGTTGGAGGAGTCAACAAGTGTTCACACCGGCGAGGAACGTGGGCTTCGGCACCGGTTCTTTTCCGCGTTTTTCAAAGTGAAAGTCTCTATTGGCAACAAGCAAAAAGTGACGTCAGGGGAATGCAGGGGTTCACTCTTTGGACTGTAGACTTTCTTCCCAACTGATTACCTGCAGTTTCATGGTGTCAAATGAATGCTTCGGAAGCTCGCTCCAGCACCCGCGCAGCAGCACGAAACAAATGTTCTTGAATAGTCCATTTTTAGACAGCCCGCTAGAACTGTAGAGCCAAGGTCACACTGCTCATACATAAAACAAAACACAGCCTGCATTCAGATTCGTATGCGAGTCACCGCGAGATCCGTGTTTCGAATGCCGCATGGCAGTGACTTCAAGAAAACACATGGCACGCGGAATTCAAACCACGGATACTGCGGTGACTCGCGTTTGCAGACTGCTTTTTGTATGACGTGTAAGCTGCGTGACCCCGGCTTCACGGCGAGAGAAAACACTCTCCGTCTGCCAGGTAGCCCTAGAACACTCCCGATCCGCGTGTCACTAACGTGAGGGTTGTGCAGGAATTGCGAGATTTAAATCTACGCCCAATCTATGAGAGGCGTGTCTTGTAATAGTGTTATAATTATTTCAAGCACACGGTGTAAGAATGCATGGTGCGTAACATATACGCAGATCGAAATGTTCAGGGACTACCCGATACACGGTCCCAATGTGTTCTCTCGTCGTCAGCGGTTAGAAGCGATCACACGCAATCGATCTCACCCAAACGCAAATGGGTGAACCAGTCTTCGAAGTCTGAAGGCTACGTGACAGGCACGTAGCCAGGGGCGTGGCCCTTGGGGCCCAGCCCCCCCCCCCCCCCCCCCCCCCCCGAAATCTTGAATTTTGCTGGGGCCTCCTCTCCCCTCTCCCCCTCATACAACATTCGGTCAAGGGCGCCCCCCCCCCCCCCTCCCCCTTCGAAACAAAATCCTGGCTACGTGCCTGCTGCGTGATATCTTTCAAGACGCCCTGAATTTACCCGCTAATAAAACGCTTAGTTGCTGAGCGGCTACAGGATGCTGCAATAACGTCGATGACACTCAAACCGAAACGCGTGGACCAGGGCTCTATTATACTCCGACGTCGAGCGTAAGAAACGCGGCGTAGTGCAGCGCACACAGGTACTAATTGGTCGCAGACATCGAGTTCCCGCCCGCCGGCCAATCATAGGCCCACCTTCTGCGCTACGCTGCGTTCGCTGCGCTCATGGTCGGAGTATTACAGAGCCTTTAATCCTCAGATTCCTCCAATAAACCGCGAACGCCGAGCATGCACCGCCAACGGAGCGTCCAGCCAGTTAAATGTCCCGCTCTCGCGATCAGCTGTTCGGCCGGCTGCCTTCGCCGTCCGGGACGGTCCCGCGCCTGGTCGGGCCGACCGCGCGCGTCGGCTGCCGGGTCCCAAGGGACGGCTGCCGAGCAGTAGCGGCGGCGACCGGGCCCCGAGGCCCCTCTCCGCGCACAGCCGGCCGTCTCGCACGCGCTCGCCTCGGGCGGGGAGAGGGCGACGCCGGGCACCGCCCCGAACGGGACGCCCGCGGGCCCTCGGCAGCTTCCCCCGGCCCCCGAGCCGTCCCGGGACGGGCCACTCACGCGCCGCTCACGGGATGACGTCGCCCGCCCCGCCGGCAAATCCAAAGCAGCTACCCGACGGGAAGGGGGGTAGCCAGTACACCGCTCCAAAAATCAGACTGTCCCCCCCGAAGTAGCGACCCCCGCGGAAACGGCAAGAACCGACCGGACCCTTGCAAAGAAAGAAAGGTTCTCCCCGTGCTGCTGTCCCGCTCGAAAGACGACGAGGTCCGAGCGCTGTCCAAGACTGGAGTGAGAGCTTCCCCGCAACGCATGGCTCGAGCGAGCCGCCACCCCTGACGCGGCGGAGCGTGTCAGGGAGCCTCCCAGGTGGCCCTCCTCCCCGTGGAACCCTTGCCCGAGCGGTGCGGGAACCAGCCAGGTGTCACAGAAGGCCCCCGCAAGCCCTCCGGGATGGTAGCCCCCAGAGAACGCGTCTCTGTCCCGTCCAGGGGACCCCCCCGCCGGCAGGTCCCGTGATTGAGGCTCCGGAACAGCGCGAGGCGCCCCGGGGGACACGTCGTTCGGCTGTGGGATACTCGGACCGTGCGCGTGAAACCACCGACCCCGGTGCCTGGGATTGACCCCGACGGTCTTCCGTGTTCCGCCTTCACGTCTCAGTGCTACTTGGTGATCTCGTGTGGTGACACGTCCCGTGTGACACGGCGGCGGCGGCGACTCGCGACGCGCCAGGACTGACTGTCGTCTGGGGGACCACATGGAGAGGCTCATGATGCGGTGAGTTCCCGCCCACGAAACTTTTTTCTCCGTTGAGAAGCGGATGGGTGCCCGCTGGAATTGTGAGACCACGTTACGCATGGGGTAGGAAGTGTGTTTACGACTGTGCTCAGTGTGCCGGAACAGTCCTTGTGGCGTCGACCTTAAGTAGTCCACCCCTAGTTTCTCGCTGCGACCCTTAGGCTGACGCAGTAGCCATACGCCCAGACGCTAGGCCAAAACAGCCAAGTGTACGAAACAAGGACAAAACAGCACTTCTTCAGTCACATGGTTCATCCTTCAGCTCGTGAGACGGAAAGGGTCCACAGCTACGAACATCTAGAACTTGGCCAAGCTCCTGCACTATACCCGCGGCACTTAGTGTCCCGCTAGGACAGTTCTGCCTTTTGCGGAAAAAAAACATGGAGCGTCGTGTAGTAGTAGCGTCATATCAGCGACGAGCTTCCAGGGTCTCCGATGTCGTACGCGCCACACGACTACGGAATACTAAGTCGAGGCGTCGCCTTGATTTGCGGTGTCTCTCCCTTTGTGAGGAGCCATTTTCGAGCCCCGTGCGAGCTCGGAATACTAACCGTGTCGTACCGCCTGCCGTGGTTTTGTTCTGGGTCTTCATTAGGCTTAGCGTCAAACCGAGGACTTCATCGGTGTCGATGCGTAGTTGCTGTTGAGATGTGTCGCCTCTAACGAAGGCTCCTGACTATGGGAGCAACCTAAAACACGTTCTCAATCTATTATTTTGAGTACCATGTGTAATAAGTTTTCTGTGGAACAAGGTTTGATATCAAGGAAGAAAACGCCTACGGGGCTGTATGATGTTGCAGGGGAAAAAAGGGCGTAAACAACACCGTCTAAGTATGATTGCTGTCCAACATGCGCAACAGTGATTATCCACAAGGACACGTTGGAGGCGAACATCAAAATATAGAAGGCGCGTTTTTTTATGATTCAGTTTCTAAGTTACGTGATTTTGATTTCAATGACGTAGCAATGACGGTGGAAATAGAACGCCACGAACATTGGTTAAAATATCTACAAGTAACATCACGATGATCTTTATCTGAAGATGGTGGGCGACAAATCTACACTGGATACCACGAAAGGACATGGCATTTACAAAACGAATTATCACGTCAGGATTCAAACGCTACATAAATCGATGACAGTTGATGTACTCCGTGTCATCGGATCTGGAGACCGCCGTTATTCAATAAAAATGCACGTATATCGCTAGTCGAGATAGGGTTACCGAAATTCTGGTCAATCCCGGTTCGTCAGTGGTTGCAGCAGAGAGTTCCAAGCTTTTTCTTTTTTGTATTACTCTGGACGCTTTTGTCTTCAGTTCACAAACTTCATGAGAGCAAGAGACCGGTGCTTGGAGGTGCATCGCTTACATGCCAAGGCGAGGGGAAGAGCATTTAGTCTGCGATTGCGACTGCACGTGCTCCGAGATTACGAGTGTCCATGCGCCGCGCCTATTCGTTACATGTGGTCCAGTCGCATGTATGCGAATAGCAGGAGTTGGCATCGGCCTTAAAAACTCACGACAACAAGCGCCGGCGTCGGCGGCGGTGGTGGCGGCGCTTATTCATTGTCCCTGAAAAAAAAAGTTGACTCTCTGTCCAGATCTTTTCTGCAGACAAGAGGAACCGTCCTCTCACCTTGACGCCGGCGTTGCTCATTACCGAGCTACGACTGGTGAAAAGAAAGAAAAAAAGGAGCACGAGTAAACGCCTCCACTTTTCTTTCGTTTGGCGTCACAGTCGGTTCAGGGAACTCCGGGGTGAACGAGTTCTGGATCAACGTTTAAAAAACATTTAACGCGTGTTGACCGCGGTCATGTGCTGTTATGTCTTCTGCTTCGTTATTGTCTTTCCCGGTGCGTCCGCTCAAACGTTCGCAGCAGAGCTCTAAGAGCTATACGATCCATTAAAGAACAAAACTGGCTCTAATAAGATTTTTCTCAAAGTTGGGGTTATCTTAAATGGTGCTAACTGACATGAACACCACCATAAATAATCGAAGCATGCGCAGTAGCATTTGGCCGCAATCACGCTGAGGTAGAGCGCAGACATATAGGTCGAACAATGAGGGCTGCGTCAAGGTTCTGCTGGACCTCGTGTTTAGTCAATACGTCGAAGGACGGACGGTGTCGGGGCTCGAGCCCAATTGCCGTGTTGGCGCCATCTTAGTGTTGATGACGCAATGTGGTGGTAGAGGAGGCTGTTCGCAGGCTTTGAATATTCCACGTGGTGATTTTTGAGTAGTACGAACGAGCGAACGTAACAGTAAATCTGCGAGGTAAAATGCGCCCTTCCATTTCTTCATATTTGATTGCGGCTGCTTCTGAGAAACGAAAGGATATCCTCCCGCTTTGTTTTCATCATCTGAACAAAGTGTTGGTTGGTTTTTTTCCTGTGCTGAGTAAAACTGTGATTCTGCTACTTTTAAGAAGCTTGAAACTAAGTATTAAAATATTTTACTAAACATGTAAATACGCAACATTCTTGCCAAGAGAGGCTCAAGTTTTTTACATTTGGAAATCTTTCCTTTTAGTACAAATCTTTTCAAGCAAAAATAACGATAACACGTAAAGATGAGTGTTTTGTGAGTTGAGTCGCTGCTGAAGGAACCAGCAACGAGGGTTTTTAGCACTGTAGCAAACATTCGCATTTTTTCGGAAACAACGTCAGCTAAAGTCCTCAATTTCTCTCACTGAACAACAACACATAAAAGCTAGAAAACACTTCTTCTGCGACACTTCGTAAAGCTGCATAAAAGTTGTCAGATGCAACTTTCACAAAGCGAGTACGTGCAAATAAAAACAAATTCGTCGCTTGAATTGCCAGACGAGCTTCAGAAGGAGAATTCACTCTCGCCCATCACGCTTTCATAATAGAGCGTTATAGTATAAACCACGCCTCCGGTAGAAACCGTCCCTCCCTTAAACTGGTGGCAAACTGGCAACATTATACGCCAGGGCGACTCCGGTAAGAGACAACGCAAGATCGAGACTCGGAACGTAATACAGAGTCGTGACCAGCTCCGCCCACACCACGTATGGGAGTCGGCTCTCGGAGAAGGAAAGCAAAACATGCATCTCAGGGTGCCTTATCGTTGGTGGGTGTGATGCACCCCGCAAATGATGCGCAAACGGACCCAGTCTGTTTCGTCGGGATCCTCTGGTTACCGTTCGTGCCAGCGATCCTTTGTCTCCTGCAATGTCCTTCGTGCAAATGGAAAGTTGCCCTGGTGCCCTTGCTACCGAATGGCGGCGCATCACGCGCCGAAAGTTGAATCACGATGTTCTCCCGCTTTGGTTTTCTATTTCTTTTTTTTTTTTTTTTATGGCCAAGTGTGTTGGCTGCAACAACGTTTTTTTTTTTTTTTTTCTTGTTTTTTTTTAGGTTTTGTTGTGCACGTTTGTTTGCAGTAATGAATAGGTGAAGGTTAATCTCGAAGTTTGCTTGGTGTATTATGATGCGGTCGCCTGATGACTTTGGAAAGAGCTTTGAGTACACGGGCGAAAACTAAGATAGGAGGCCATAAGATACGACTTTGCGTATGCAGCTCCTTTTGTTACCGGCATAAACGGGAATCTTGTCTCTCGCGAAAAGCAAACCTGATCGTGCTTAGACATACGTTCAATAACCACAAAAAGCAGGAAAAATGTAAAGTATAATGTTTCAGAAATTTCAGTGATTAACAGTTCAGTAAAACGTTACAGTTAGATTTTATTTTAACGTGGGTCAAAACTTCACACTGCCTCTATGGTAACCCCTCGTCAGATGGACATTCCTTTGGTTATTTATTTACCCAATAGCTGCATATACTGGATGACGAAAGTTGTTTCTGAAAGAAGCGTCTCCCGCAATGTCTCACATAAAGACCATTAGATGAAAACGTAACAGACATCACACAAGCGTATAAATGTAGCTGCCTCATAGTTATCGGAGGCCACAGATCGGTTCACGAAATCTTCTGAGGCAACAGGCCCCCCTTCCTTTTTCCTCTAGCTTTTCTTCTCGCTCATACAATAGCACTGTCCCACCTGCTCCTCCAGCCCACGGCATCGACTGAGAAAGTTGATTCTTGATTCATTTAACGTTACAGGAGTTGCCACTGCCGCTTCCCAAGGTTAAAAGAGCCTCACGTGCAAACAGTCCCTTCGATCGACATTCATCAATGTGTAACGCTATTGCGAGGAAAACCGATCCCGTCAGATCCACAGAGAAGACAGCATTCTCTTTTGAATGGCATGCGTCTAGAAATCCAATTTCGCATGTGGCGACTGCAACTCGAAGGTCATGCCGGCATCCGGCAGTCCGACAGGCGGATCAGAATTCAGAAGAGATACAAAAAATGGCACCACGACGGCTCTTGGAGACCCATACGCCACGCTCGAGATCATTTATCAAATTCGCAGAAGCGGGGGGGCCAAAGGTGCCTTCCACAGTGAGTTCGCTTGCGGCGAGAAACAGGTATTTTCGCTCCGAAACTTGCGTGCCCCAACTGTGCATGCGGGAGGTGCACGATGGGAACGTCGGGTCGCAGGCCACGCAACGGAAGTTGAGAAGATCCCGGAGCCACAGGTTACGCTTTTTTTTTTTCGTTTACGCAATTCGCGTTCCTAATGTTACAAAATGAATGCTGGAATAATGCTACGTTGGGGCCCATTTCAATGCGAGAAGATGACAGAATCGTGAGCAGTAAATAGAAATAGCTCACGGTATACGTACTCTCAGCATCACATTATCTCGGAGAGGAACCACGAAGTTCGATTCTTCTCGGAAATTGATTGTACTTCCAGTTTCCGATCACCCCTTCCCCCCGACTTGGTCGCCTGCGGCAAAATGCAAAGCAGACGACGCCACAGTGCTTGCCGATGTTAAAGCCAGTTGCATCCACGAAAGGACGCTTCTGCGCGCGCTGAAACTTGACCGGCAAACTTTTGATGACTGTGGATTGTTTTTGCACACTGCGCGAACGTTGTAAAAATTTAA